CCCACTTTTGAACTAGTAGAACTAGACATGGAGTAACTGTAGAAGGCCCTGGTCGCACCTCTGTAACCATGGGCATCAGAACTTCATAACTGACCAATGGACTTTCTGCCCTCTTGCATGTGTGGACCCTCCTTTGCCCGCTGGACAGTGGAACAGAAAAAAATGGAATTCCTGTGGCCATCTAGGGCAGGCACCCCAAGGGGAGTGGGCTGATATCTGAAGAAGGGGCCCATCACCTCTTGGAGCTGTGGTGAATTGATGTATTTTTAAAATGAACAAATACTGGGGAAAGGAAGATTTGGGCAGAATCTGTATAGAAGTGGGAGAGACAAACAATAGGAAATTTAAAATTACTGAGCCTAGGGTCATTTGGTGAAGGCTATAGCTTGACAGAGCATGGAAAATGTACATTGGTATAAATGAATTATGGTAGAGAAATTTCATCAGACCTCATACACATATCTTTTACCCACTCTTAGTTTTTGTCACTGTTTCAAACCTATCCAGTGTTTGCTCACTTTATAGGAACTTTATAAATATTGTTTTTCACTGAGTGTTTAGTAAAATGCTCTCATGAGTATGTAAAAGAGGGTTTGCTCCATTTATCAGAACTGCCAAAGATAGCTAGTTAATATTTGTAAAGTGCTCTGAAGTTGAAATATGCTGTAGAAGTACTAAGTATTATTATTATAAATGCAGAAGCAAAGCAGTACAACCCTTGTTTCCCAAATTCTGCTCTGAGGCTGTTTCAACAGGGAACAACTCTGCCTCTAAAAAGTTACAGCAGTGTGATTATAAGGTTTAGACATTTGAACATGACAGGTTGGTTTTCACAGTATGGAAAAATAACCTGTAGTTTCCCATTGTAGCTTATAGGATCAAATAGTATTGTGCAACACTGGCATTGCTGGCTCAAGTGAAATTATTGTGATGATCATACATGTATTTGCCATTAACAGTTAAATTTGAGATATTTGAATTGCCTAACTATTCATCTGGCAATCAGAATTCCCAAGACTCTCTGCAAGACAAAATAGTGGTAAAGGGCCAGCTCCTGCAATTAGATCCATGCATGCTGAGCTGTGCACTTGAGTGGAGTTCTGCTGACTTTGATAGGGATCCACACTGTGTAGGGATCTGCCCACCCAAAGTCAGTTTTGAAACTACAGCTATAATCAATAAGTTTCTTCTGGGGAAAAAAAGACCCTTTTCTAACCATGTCACTCCCCACATTCCTTTGAATCCCTCTCTGTTCACCACTGCATCAAGTTCTAACTTCTATTCTGCAACTTCATGTCTCTTTGTAGGTCTTTCCCTCTTGTTGCATCTACCCAACCTCCCTCTGCTCCATTACAGTGATGTCCTTGGCTTTTCCCACCTGTTTGTTTTGTTCCATGGTGTCCCAGTACACACAGAATTTTCTGTCCAAATTGGTCTGTGAAGCCATATCCCTCTTCAGATCTGCCCTTTAGGCCTACTCTTGCCATGATGTCTACCAGAAAGCTGACAGCCAATGATGGTTTGATTGAGGGGCGATTGGGGATAGTGCCTTTCAGTTGGTTAGGTCTAGATGCTATCTTGACCATCTGCTAAAGTAAGGAATGGCACATTGCTGCTATATACAGGGAGAATGAATTGTGACTCCCATGCTCCTTCCGTGTTCTGACAGGTAAGTAAGTTACTTAACTCCTTTTAGAAGGAGCAGCTTACCTCCCTCCTCTACAGCCAGCCAGCTACTGTGGTTGGTGAGTTTTGGAATGGAGCCAGAGCTCCTTTCCCATCTGCACCCAATCCTTGTCCATTTCCTTAGGGTGGGTATCAAGCACAACCTCTGCTCTCTCCTCTGGTCAGAATTACAACTGGTGTCCTTATTCCCCTTCACAGCTGTGTGAGAACTATAATAATCTAGCCCTTATTTGACCAAAATAAATATTCAGAGAATCTGGACCCATCAAGAACCATCACACTATGTAAGAACTAACCTACATGTCTATGTGATCTTATAGTCCTCTCTTTCACCTCCCTCTTACATTTCAGCTACCAGTCAAAATATCATCATTATGTTGAGTGGCCATCAACTGCTCCATTATCTAGTCTGCTAAGTGTTCTTTATCATACAGAGTGTCATTCATTGGATTGGCACTTTCATATAAATTAATGATGATTGCCCATGATTACTATACTTACATTCAACACTTATGCAGTGTTTTTACGTAACATGCTCTCTGAGGATCTCAAAGCACTTTATAGACATTCATTTAATGAATGCTTGTCCACTAAGGTATAATTATATCCAATATGCAGATGGAAGACTGAGGTGCAGTCAGCATCCAGGAATGTTCAGTCTGAGAAGTCCTGACTTCCAGTTCTCTTTGCTAACCACTAGGATAACATTTTCTTCCAACTTGACAAATAAAAACAAACTCTTAAATTAATCTTCATTTAGACAGTTCACCATTTCACTGCTGCCTCACATGCCATGTATCTCTGGCTAAATGGACTTCTGGGGCTACATATTGTGCCGCTGATCTTGTAAACACTTATGCACTGATATAGCTTTGCTGACATAAGTAGTTTTAACTCATGAGAGGGTACTTAACATGAGTGAAATTATTCATGTGCCGTTGTCTTTGTAGGATTGGGCCCCAAAGCATGGCCTTCGAAGTACATTTTTCCTGATGTATGTGAGGAAGCAGTGAAATGGTTTATTGAATTAAAGGAGATACATGTAGTATCAGGTACATCCCAATGCTGTTGTTAGGTGGCATTGCGCTAAGGCCTAGGAGTTCTAGTCATGAAACAGGACCCTGTAAAGTAGTTGCTAATGGAACATCAAAGTTTTTTGTTGTTGTTTGTTGTTTTTAAATGCAATACACCAGCGGGACAGAGGAATCCTTTCCCCCATCTTGTGTGTGACTTGTGTATATACATTTTACATTTTTCAAGCCAGGCACCAGGTCTTGCTATATAACATTGACTATCACTATGGGGCTCTAGTCTTGGTTGGGGCTATTCCGTGTTATTGAAGTACAAATGACAAAAATAATATAAATTTTAAATCTTTGCATGCCAGTATATTATGAAGGTATTACTGGCTTGCAAGGAAGCTGTGAACAATAGTTGCCTGCAAAGCACTGTTTCTTATTAAAAATGTATCATGTTCTTTTTTAGAACTACAGCTATTAATTCTTCACTTCACAACCTTCCTCATTTTCACTTCTGAACCACAGATACAATAATCCTGACCAAAACTCTGTCAATCCCACCTCAACAAAGATAGAATATTAGATTAGTGAGGTCTCCTAATTAAACTTCATTAATTTCACAAATCATACTGGAGCATATTCACCAGTATTATACACTTAATTTCTGTACTGTCAAACAATACTAAACTAGGTTTCTCTACAGGAATAAATAAAGCATATTTTGTGATACTGTAACCTTGAGTATTCCCCCAGTCATGTTTGCTTGTTAGTTCATAAAATTCAGTAATCTGTAATACGTTTCTCAGACATTACAGTGAGTTAGTGGTGTTCTTTTCTCTATTTCAGCGTCATTTTTAGCCTTTCCTATAGGTTTACTTAAGAACTTTCATTATAATTCCTGTTTTCCAGCTATTTATAACAAAGGAGTTATATTTGATTAAATATTGTGTCTGCAGGAAAGGTTTAATCAAAGCCAGGAAGCTAGGGTCTTTCTCCCTTTCTGCAGGTGTGTTAGGGCTAGTCAATATCTAGCCCTATGATTTTACCCAGAAACGTCATCGGGTTATACCCTAAAGTATTTAAAAACATTCTGCAAATGTATTGCAGCCTTAGATTTCCTTCAAAAACGAAAAGGCAAAACTAAGGGTAAATGCTGGATCTATTGATGACAATAGTAAAACTCCCATCAATTTCAATGTGGGGGAGGTTAGAATTTCATCCTGGTATCTCTTTTTAATGGTGAAGATATGTTAGACAAAACCTTGGGGTTGAAAGTTAAGGCTGACATACCTTTCTTAACCCATATGCTTTCATAATAATCACAGTTAATGTATCTTTACATATTGTAGTTTTGTCTGTAGTTTGAATGTATTTTTATAAATTATTCTTTTGTAATGGTAACTAAAAGTAGAACAAGTTCTTGAGAGACGATTTACTCACATTGCAGACTTTAACATGACATTTTTTTTATGTATGTTGTAAGTAAACATACCGTAACAGATCATATCATATCTATGTCTTAATCCTTTTCTGCTAGTGTAGTGTAACTCATTCCTTTGATTTACTCATGTTGCATCATCTATTCCTAACTGGAATACAGAACAGAAAAATGTAAGATATAGTCTGACTGCAATTTATTAAACCAGTAGCGGGAGATTCCTTTAGTATTTATAAATTAGTCAAGTGAGAGAGAACCTAAATGCTTTTATTATACTTCTGTCCTTTTCCTTTAAATATGTCTGCTGCCCATTACCTGTAGTGATAGTATCACTTACAGGTGATAGGGCAGCAGACGTGTTTAAAGGAAAAGGACAAACGTGTAACAAAAGCATTCATATGAGAAATGGAATGTCCAGCGTTTGTCCTGCAAAAACCTTACCCGCTAGAAGGGCTCTTCATCATGTGAGTCGTCCATCGACTTTAATGAATCTACTTGTCTTACAGGGATGTTCATGTGAGCAGTTTTCAGCCTTGAAACCATGTGCGTAATGGTACTTGCTTTGCTCACAGGAGGGTGGACTCTCTGAACTCACAGGAATGTCCCCACTGAGGATTGTTCCCCTTGAATCAGATTAACAGGATTTGGGGCATAAACAGTTTGATCTATTTAATGGTCTCAACTCAAGCAAACAAAATAGATATTATGAGTGAGGTTCATTCCTCAGTTTGTTTGCACACATTTTAATGTATCAGTGTGTCTTGCAATTATTTTGTTTATTAAATATGCCTGTTGTCTCTGCAGATGTATTAAATACTCAGTGTTTTTGCTAATTGATAATGCCTTTATTGTTGCAGATACAGAAGTGGTGTATAAAAATAGGAATGGACATGTTGTTAAACTGAATGTAGAAACAAATACAACCACGTTATTATTGGAAAATACAACTTTTGTAAGTAATACATACTTATTTTACGCATTAAAATTGTATGTCACTTTTAAATGGCATCCAGTTAATAATAATTTGGCATTTGTCTATAACAGACAAAGAATATAGTGCTTAAAAATGATATAGAATCTATTTAGAATAGATGATATTAGAGATGGAAAATACCACCCATTCCACTGTTAATGCGAGATTTTCCAATCCAGTATATTATCATTTGCTTGGCAGACAGTCTGATAGAGGCCTTTGAAGGCTGACTTCTGCTGTGCTGCCTACAGTTAATCTAGCTGATGGGTATAATAAGTAGAGTTGATCATAAAATGGGGGGGGGGATATTAAAACATTGAGAAGTTTTCCATGGGTGGTTTTTGGTCAAAATTTGAAATAAAAAAAATCAAAATTTGAAAAATTAAACCATATAGTTGGTTGAAAAATGTGGAAAATTTTGAAAAAAAAACCTCAGTGTTTTTTTCCATTTTGTTGACATTACTATAGATTCAAGCAGCTCTCATAATTAAATAAAGAAAAAGTATATATTTCTCAATTCCACTCACCTCTCTCTACTTACCTGTTGCTCTGAACTTAGATTGTGTGCTCTCTGGATTTCTTGTGAAATGCCTTGCAAGTGGCAGGGTGCTCCCTTAATAATAATTATTCTTAGGATACTTTTTGATATTTAGCTCAAGTTTCCCTTTGTTCTATTTCATCCCATTATGCCCAGTGATACTACCTGTAATCCTCACTTCATCAAGCCATGCGGTACATATTTCATCCTTTTCAATTCTTCCTTACAAATCTGTCCCTACAGCCCTTTGATCTTTTATGTTGCTGGTTTCTGAATTTACTTCAGTTTTTGGGGACGAAGGTGCCCAGGACTGAATTCAAGACTCATTGTCAACAGAGCCGCATGGCAAGGGATTATCTCCTTCCTGGTCTGTGTTGTGATGCCTTTGCCGATGCAGCCCAAAGTTACCTTGGCTTTGTTTGCTCCCTGTATTTCATTGTAATGTAACTTCCTTTCTCCCCCACCTCAGGAGCATTTTCTGTTCAGGGGCACCAGGCCCCAGCCAGCTGCCTCCTCTAAACACTTCAACTAGTGGTAGGAGAACAGGAGCTCTTGGGAATGAACCAATCTCCAGAAGCAAAGGACTCCCTTAGCCACTGCAGGGGGCGGGGTCTGCATTTTCTGTTGGTATAGGCCTACAGAAAATGTGATACCCTTCTGGACTGAGCAGGAGACAGAGGGGAGGGAATTGTCTGAGGGGTGTGTCTGTGAGACCCAGTGTCTCCTGGGTCTATTTCTGGAGTGGTGCACCTTGCATACCAGCCATGCCTCATGGCTCAATCTGACATTGAGAACGGCTGGCATTACCAATTATAAATAAATGTCTCTTTTTGTCCACTTGAGTAAAAATGCTCCTTTTCCATATGGAAAAACACCATATTACAACAAATTGATGTGGACAGCAGCCAAACACTGCAAATGCCCCCTCTTTTCAGAGGGTTGCTCTTTTCTGGGTTTGCATGAGACGGGACCAGTTCAACCTCAGATCACCCAGACTGAGTTCAAGGCACAAGACACACACTCTTAATTAGAAGTTGGCAACTGATTAAAGATGCCTAATACCCAACCAACAGTCCAGCCGGCCTATATATGGAACAGAGGCAAAGAATAGAGAGATGATGTGTCTGTTTTCCACAAGAAGCTCATTTGAATGCAGTATGTGAGCATAGTAAAAAGTTGAAAGCACAAATGAGGTAGATTCTACCCACTGTCACATATAAGTGGAATGAAAAAACTGTATGTGGAGCAGAACCCTAAACATGACTTGTAGGTATAATAATAAAAGGGAATTTTGCTGTACCTGACAACTTTCTGTCTGTGATGAATACACAGCAAACAGTCCTAACATGGGGTCATAATGAAACAGAGGCAGGTTGCAGAATTGAAATTCAAAATACTCCCACTTCTCTAAGCTCTCCCCTCAAAAATGCTCCCCCTTCTCCACACTGCTAGATGTACTCTTCCAAGGCTAAACTCCCGAATCACTAATCATAATTCCTCTCTCACTGTCATATCTGCTTAATCATTAGTGCATAAATAGAAATGGTGCTGGCTTAACACCCTGCAGAGCTTTCCCATCCTAGAGAAGCCACTTTTCAGTATGAAACATTCCTCCACTTTTCATTCTCTCTCTCTCTCTTTTTCTGTCCAAATAGCCAATAAGGGGGTAAGTTTTTCTTAGTGAGGTTGATAATTGCCTATTAGAAATCAGACTGCAATAATAAACTTCTTTCAGGGACACAACCAAAGAGGTAGTCATGGCTCTTGGTTGCTCTCTAAATTGGCTATATTTGAACCAGAATCTTATAAGTGAATATCATCTTACTTTATTACCAATCCCTTGATGCATGCAGGCCCCTAGTGTGCAGCTCAGAGGTTCTTGCTTTACTCCCTGGAGATTGCCATTTTGTGAAGAGTAAGTTTTCTTTTATCCTACTTAGTGTCACTTTCTGTCTAAAATGCACAGGCAAAGCCTTCTGAAAAGCCTTTGAAAGACATTCACTGTGTTCCCTCTCCATGTATATCTGCCAGCAAAACTCACTCAGCACAAAAAGGCAGACTCTGGGCTCATTAGTAAGTTCTGTGTTACGTGCATTATAGAAAAGGTTTTTTTTTTCCTTAAGAAAAATACCACTTTAGTTTTTAATCAAGGTGTAATGGTGCTGGAATTTATTAAGAAGTTCTGGTGTTTTCTTCTTTTAAAGTCTCTATTTCTCCTCCAAAGAGAATATCTTTTAAAATCAGAGGGGTAGCCGTGTTAGTCTGAATCTGTAAAAAGCAACAGAGGGTCCTGTGGCAACTTTAAGACTAACAGAAGTCTTGGGCGCATAAGCTTTCGTGGGTAAGAACCTCACATCTTGCATCTGAAGAAGTGAGGTTCTTACCCACGAAAGCTTATGCTCCCAATACTTTTGTTAGTCTTAAAGGTGCCATAGGACCCTCTGTTATCTTTTAAAAGTTTCTATAGAAAATAGCAGGGTTTTTTCTAAGTGTCCTATGGATTTATTCAAAGACTGTCTTAAAAATTACTATAATTAAGCCATTTGTCCTCTCCAAACATGAGTAGAGAAGACTGAATACTTTATATAATCAGCCCATTAACAAAATAATCTAATCGTTAACAAAATGTATTGATAGGGAAAAAATTACAAAACCATTTCAAGAAGCACCATAAATAGCCTATCTCTGCAGGTTATTGATTAGATGCATTTTCTGAACTATATCCTTCAACTTCAGTGAACCTGTCAGAATTAACCAGTGAATAGTGTGCCATCTCTAGCTGGCCAGTAAACAGTTAATACTCTAAACCAGTGGTATGCAAATGTTAACAGCTGGAAGCTAAGCAACTTCAGTAGTCCATGGAGCCAAAGAGACTAGAAACTAATCAACACTAAACAACATGGCATCTTGAATTTATATTGTGATGCTGTATCAATGTGTGATGGCAATACATTCTCTATTATTTAGCTAATGTTCCTGTCACCCTGGAATGTAAGCTCCTGCTCACCAATTTAGCAGTCAGCAGCAAATCTTTATTCTTATTACACACTATAATTCCAAAATGATTTTGGAGTCATACCACATTTTTGTCTAAATAAGGTTGCCATTTTTCTGACATGCTTTTTTTCTCCTTTTTTTAACAGACTCTTTTTACTGTCATTTCCTTTAAAACTTTGTCAATAAATGGATTAACTGTTAGTAACCCAATCATAAATGCAATTTCAGAGATGGCTGCATGAAGGAACAAGAAAGGGGGTCTGCATGCTTGCTTGAACTCATGAAATGCATGCAGATGGTCTCTCATCTTTCTCCCATCCCTCACCATACTACCAGCATGGCTGCCCTCACCTAGATTATATAAACCCCAAACAAAAAACAATACAGGAAATTGCAAATATGAAAAAAGAATAGGGACCCAGTGACCCATAATCCTCTTCCCAATTCATAGCCATTGAAAACAACCAACGTCAACATTTCCCTTCCTTCCACTGCTGCCCTCCCAAAAAGACCACTAAAAATTAGTAACTGCAAATATGGCAAATGTATTAATTCTCAAAAACTGCTAGGATCCATCTACCACATGTGTGATGATTAAGGATGTGGGAAGAAGTTAGAAACATAAATAAAATAGGGGCTATTGCTTTAAGACCTACCAGTTCCTGGCCCATTCACTTTGGTGCTACCCAGTCTCCATCCACATGTTAGCTGTTTGTGCATATCTTGTGACTGCAGTGGAAAGTCTTAACCTTGAAGGATGACAGCAACAGAAAGGCGGGGGGGGGAGTGGGAGTAATTTATGCATCACTATTCACACATACAGAATTGTTAAGAGAAATCAATCCTGCTCTTTGTGACCAGAGGCAGGATTCAACAGCAGGAAGGCCATCAAAGCACTTGTGTTCCAGATAGGAAACTAGGTGCATCCTAATAAATTTGTTAGTCTCTAAGGTGCCACAAGTGCTCCTGTTCTTTTTAGGTGCATCCTGTGCAGAGTGTGAAGGGGATAATAGAGAGAAAGGAGAGTGTTTTAACTCTCTCTAACCTCAGGAGAGACCTGCAGACCATTCATTTTCACCTTCCATTGCTAAGAGGACAGGGCATGGAGTTATGAGAATCTCTGCAAGGAAAAAAAAAACATGGCTCACGAATAACGCTAAGGAACTATCTATATTTATACAAGGAAATACCTTGTGCTTATTATTGTAATACAAATAGAGTAATGATATTCTTATTTGAACATCACACATTAATCACAGAAGCACAGAGATGAGTGGTCCTAGGTCACAGAGTGAGGCAGTAGCAACCTGGGGTACCACCAGGAGTCTAGACTCTGTCTTTTGCTGTAGCCACTAAATCAAACAGCTTAACTCAAACAGCATCAGATCACCTCAGCAGAAAAGCATCTGGGTGGGAGGAGACATTCTCTTACTTCCTTTATTGC